CAATATCAATTTGAATCATTTTTAAGAGAATATTGACATTGTAGTCTCTGCGACCGTTTGAAAAGGACGGCATTTGTCGCTGTCGCCACTAAACCGTCACCGGTATGCTTACAGCCAATCCGTTTTAAGACAAAGTCTTTTGCCAAAGCGGCATAGATGCGGCTAATTTTTCAAAGGAACTTGCGCTTCTTCGTAAAAATTGTGCGAATTTGATCAATGTAGATGTGATACTCCAACAGAAAACTATCCATCGATTCATACAAACACATTAATCGCCTGAGAATTGATATGTTTTGAAGAGTGAACGCGAGCAAACCCGGCGCTGGAGTATCATGGTCCGAACGAATACTTCAAGTTGATGATACATCTCTTTCCTTATGGTCTCACATCGTTTCGTTTAAATGGTTTGAGTCATCTCTACATCTCCATGATGCTTCTACGTAAAGGCTTTGGTTTAAATGGGAGTTTTGTACATTTCCTGATTGACTAGTTGATGTCAGCCCAGCTTCACTTTGTTGCGACATTGATGTTGCTATGTACAAAAGATAAAACGTGGGATGCCAAGTGCTTGATGCTATGACTGAGAGCTAAGTGATAGAACGGCAGCATGCAGATGCCCACGGGAGAAAAATCATTTTTTATTTGGCGATATAGCTCAATTTGACCCAAATAAATTTACGAGTACATGCAGTAGATCACACCTCGCTACATTGGATTCAAAATGGTCGTGACTAAAGAGTATTGAGACACTGCCGAACTTCCCAGGTCAAATTCAGTACATTTCGTGTTGTATGAAGGCTCTCGGTAGCTAAGTTACATTCTGGCTGCCCAACACTGAGAATTTGAGGAGAGTTTTAATCCATTAATTTGCTGCTGGTGTACCTCTGAAGGACAATCAGCAGATGATCAAAACTTTCAACGTACAAATCATTAGACTCTCGTGGAGAGTCATGCGCTCCGTCAAATTTGAAAATATCCCAATAAGTGCCGTCCCCGCCATAACTGCTCGACGATTATCTCGAGGTCTACTTTTGTATACGTAATTATGTAATTTGATGCTGTCATAACTCAAATGAAGTGGCTACCCTCATCCCGTCATTTCGACTATCTACTATGGCAAGATCTCAATGCGTGGTCGACCCGTCTAATTTGCTCAACGATTTTCAATCACTTCCCCCGGAAATGAGGCCGAATCATCGCGATGCACATTTCACCAAAAGGAAGGTTCAAAATTTGAGTTTTGAATGGTTGATGGGCGTGGTTGAGTCAACGTGAGTCATCAGAAGTGAGAATTCAAATGCGGGGGTGGATTTTCGACCTTGCTTTAAACTTTGCAGTCTATAGCATTTAGGATGGAAGACGGTGAGCGGTTTTCAAGTACTGCTAAAAGTGTAAAATTTAGGCTTAGCACTGTAATCTAGTTACAGTATCAGATGCATCGCTCCCATCAAGGACATGTAATGATGGCAAACTCCCGAGCAGTTTTTACTGGTTTGGTCAGAAAGCGTCACCGAAGTGAGCAGTTTGTACGCTTGCTTTGGTCTCATCGTGCTTTACAGGCTCATCCACTTAAGTGTCTAAGAGTTGCAACGTGCACGCCGAACTGTTCTTTAGACCGAGGTGAATAAAGTTAAAAGCACAACATGATTTGGTCGTCTTGGACGTCAAAATAACTTTTGTTTTGCGACAGGCACTTTGGGCTCATTCACGCCTATTAACTTGATATTCGCACCCTCGTTCGTACACATAACCGCATCAGGTCTCCAAGGTGAGCAGCCTCTAGTTGATAGAAGAATGTAGATAAGGGAAGTCGGCAACATAGATCTATGGAGCCTAGTCATTGGCGTTAAAAGGGCGTTTTATTGTGCCCAGCTTCTGTAAGCCAGCCTTGAGTACGCATCTTACAGGATTTGTGCGTAAGTGCTTGATACCAAGAGGCTTCAGATGCTGAAATGCGAGCAAGCCTGAAGTCGTTAGAGAAAACAATTATTGTTCAAAACTTCGACATTTCCTTAATAAAATTTAGCGTCTTCAACAGGATACTACCGATATATCGTCGGCTTCCAAGACCTTGATATTTTAAAGAATGCACACGATATTGTGTCATAGTCAGCCCTGGATCAAGACCTCAATGAGATTTGTTGCAGTTATAACGGAGTTTAAGGCGCAGTGGGAACGGTGCAACAGATTTGTCATGGCTATGTATAGATTACACTAACTCCTCCAGCCATAACGAGACGCTCAAAGCCCCGGAACTGCACCGACACGCATTTATGAACGATAGCGGGAAATGACTGGTCAGAGGAGATTGGTCCGTTGGCCATGTAGGCTTCAAGCTTCGTTAATGGTATTGCGCAGTTTTAAATTGATATATAATTATTGCATATTAATTAGCAATTTGGCCAGCTAATTCCGATTCACCGTATGTTGATCTCCGACATGAGTTTCATTGATTGCTTGGTATTCAAGATGATCTTAACTTCGCGTCCGAGGGATGGTCGTGGCCCTATAGACTGTGCATTTGTTAACGTGATCTGTGTGATAAAATCATCATTGCACAAATGCATGGCAAACTCGTTGCGTAGTCACACAGCCATCCCATGTCGTACCACAAGGCTTTGGCACAAAAATTTGGTCATAGATCGCTGGAGATGCTGAAACAACTACGATCAAGTTAAATTGAACAGCCTGTTCTGGCGCCTCGATAATGTACATCTATGGTGCTAAAAAAAGAGCCAACAGCCGGCTCTCTTTCTGTTTTCTCTGATTAATGCGTCGTGTTTTATATAATGATTATACATTTTACATCAAGAGTCTCTATAGACCTCTTCAACACTATCGACTAAAGCGTATCCAGGATCCAATTTACGACTGTGATTGCGGGTAACCATGTCGTTTCCGAACAAAATATGAGCGTGCCTAATGCTCCAATCTCTCCAAAATTGCGACCAGCATTACCTAGAGTATCGATAATTTTGGAAAGAGGGAAACCGTAGCTGGAACTAACCTTCAGCTATCAATAAACCATGTTATCTTTTGTGGTAAAGATCGTGTGCGTCAATACCAAAGACTTCATTATCTCAAATAATATATTTGGTGGAACGTCATCAACTCCCAGGCAGAAAGCAGCTCACTTCTCACCGGTTGAAATCTGGTAAGTCGTCACGGATTTGTAGCCAAATGCCAAAAAATTGCTAACTCGCTTCAAGTGAGAGAAGAAAATGCTTCGAAAACATTCGCTCAATAATTTCAATAGAAGAGAAGAGAAGAGAAGAGGAGAGAAGGATTCATTAACATTTGCTCATTTATTCCAAGAGTGTCGACAACCTGTGCGTATTCGGATCACAGTTGTGTCATAAATGCAATCTCTTACAGCGGAAGTAGGTAGTTTGGCAATAAGCTTGAAGTCATATCAATCCTTGATTGCATGCTTATTGTAAATAGATACATGTACTCGACCGTATGCTACATACGTGGTACACAGCTGTCACGTATCCTGGAGAGCCAACATCCAGCTATTCGCGTTCTACGCTACCCCGTGAGTACATGCCTAACAGGTATCGTCTTTACCAAGGCAGTGGTGACACTGCGTTTGGGGCATATGCAGGTGCTGATTGAGACAGCAATACCAATGACAGACGTTCGATTTCAGAAGTATTGACCATGGTTGCAGGCATGCCCGTGGGATTCAAGTCAAAGTACAAGCGACCCGTTGGCGGTGTCTGAGTATATGGCTCTCAGCTTTTCATTTAGAAGTTCTTCAGACTCCTGCGACGAGTGAATGGAAGAAATACAACTTTGGAAAGACAGATTAGGAGCGATCGCATTAGTCAACAACACCGGATGGACAAAGTACGTGGACGTATGGCACCACTTTATCCGCAAGAATGTACAAGAAGGGATTTCAAAGATCGACTTGATCAACACAAAGCGTCTCCTGTCAGACAATTGAGGTTCGGATCCAAGATGCTTGCGTTTGTTCGCAAGACGGCGGAATTTAAGACCGAATCAACGCCAACGATCAAAAAGCATTAACGGCGAGTGAACTTGTTGAGATTACACTGCTCAATCCTGTTGAAGAACGATGTTGCGGCTATATGTCTAGCTTGTTTGAATCATAATTACATTTTGCTATAACGATAAAGTCGAGTGGCTCCACATTCATTCCATGATTAAGGGCTCAAATCCTTAATAGATAGTTTAATTTAGAGGTGTTTAATGTTCCTAGCCTTTACCACATCATAACGGCAGAGTATTTCTGGTTCATAGAACGAGAAAGACGTAGGAACATAATCAACTTTTCACTTTAGAATTTCCATCAAATTCATCAGTCACATTGCGTAATTTGTTTTATTCCTTAAAAGTCTCTTTCCATTTCTTGGATACGAAAGTATTGCAGAAACGAGATCCTGATTATGCTTTAGAATATTGGATACATAATGTTAATTTACTAGCGACATCGCAAAGAGACATGGTCATCGACCGAATCTGCTGTGCCATCTTCAGTATGAAACTCTGCCTTATTCCGCCCCTCCTTTTTTTTCTTCAGATGCCTATTTTTTTTCTTCTTTGTAAGAGGAGATAGTCTTGTATTACTGACCTCGACCCATTCGTCGTCCCCAGCTTCGTCTTGTTGTCGCTTCTCCTGTCGTCCTCTTTGAATGTGATAACGATGTCGACTCTCTTCTTGACCAGACGACTCAATCTTGTTTCTCATAGAATCCGCGATAAGCGATGGAGGGGATGTCTGTAATTGACCAACTGCGGCTCTGAACTCGCCATTCGAAGTTGCACATCGTGTGTTTACCTCCTGTCGCGAATTCGGTCTTGATCCATGACGAGATTGCAAACGATCACGTGACTGATGTTCTGTGATCGCCAATCGATCGTCTCTATAAGTAAAACGATCCAATTGAGCTTTATATGTGCTGACAATTTGAGAATCCTGACCTTCTTGTGATTCACTATAAGGTACAGTTTTTGACAATTCCAACGCCTCAGGACTCTTGTCTTTGTGTTTTCGACGTTCCTTAGAGCTATTTGAGCTGTTATGCGGACTCATACCTCGTACAGTCACAATCGTCGTTTTAGTGTCAGACTGACTGATGTGCTGAGCTTCACTTCGTGAGAAAATTGAGCCTGAGTGTACTTTCAAACGATCCTCATTGTAAGGACTGCTCACATGAGCACGTGATGGCTGTCGAAAAGCGCCACTCTTTCTTCTCTTTGAACTTGCGGTAGATACCGACGAGCGCTCGCTACAGTACCCAGTACCGCCAGCCGAACCTTCTCGATCTTTAACTTCGTCATCTGATACAACCTCAGCCCCTCCAGTTTCACCCTCACCATTGTTCGCCAAGGTCGGAAGTTTAATCACATGAAAATCACTTCGTGGCTTAATTTTTGGCAAATTCCACTCATCTCTTTCTTCGCTCCAGACAGATCGTTCCCATACTTTCACCAGTTCAAGCTGCGGTAAGAAGAGATCAACAAGCTGTTTCAATAACTTAGCTTCTTTCGTCTGTTCTCGAATTGTGTCAAGCATGGTTTTCCGCTCTTGTTCAAACTCACGAAAAAGATCAGCAATTTCTTGTCGTGTACATTTCAACTTTGACTTATATTTCAGCTCCTTTTTCCGTGCTGCAGCTAATTTTATTTGTGCAGCTTCTTGTGCTGACTTGAGTTCTTGTTCAACTTGTTGTTTTTCAAGTGCAAGGGCTCGTTGCATAGCTTCGTTCTTTGCTTGAAGCTTTGCTTTTTCACGTAATTTGATCTGAGCCCGTCGATATTCCACTTGCTGTTTAAGCAATGCCATTTCAGAGTCAGCATCTTGAGTATTCCCAGATTCACGTGTCAATGATCGACCCGATGGTCCACCCAAAATATGGCTTTCAATCTTCTTTAGCTTCGAATGTAGCGCTTCTTTCTCACGCAAAGATATCTGCATAGCCACTTGGGTTTGTTCAAGCTCATGGCCAATCCGATCCCGTTGATCTGCAATACTTTGATTCATTTGACGCAGTTCTTCTTGCTCCTTGATAAAAGCATCGGAAATTTTATTTTTCATTACAGCTTCACTCTGCGTTGTCAACTGTCGTTCCGTAGCTTCGTCCATCATGATTTGAGCTCTTACCATCATTTCTTTTGCCTCGGCATCCATTCGTGTCGCCTCTTGCATGATATTTTGAATTGTAGAATCATCAGCATTTGATCCTTGAATGTTAGTATTTCCCGATAAATCTGTACTACTTGCTTGCTCTTGCTTGCCAAAAAGACTCAAAAGGGGCGACAACTTTGACAATACTCCGGTACTTTTCGGTTTAATCATCGTCTCCTCACTAATTTCATTAAAACTTTGTTGTGGTTCTTCATTCTGTGCCTGTAACATATTCGCCTCTTCTCTCATACATTTCGCTTGTGCAAACATCTCAGCAGCTTCCTGTTGATACTTTGCAATTTCTTGACCGTCCGTTGTCAATTCTGTACATTCGTCAGAAGCAAATGTTTCGACGACATTAGAATGGTTTATAGTGTTGTCTCGCGACTGTGACTGACTCTCGAGCATTTTTCTTAAACGCTCAATTTCTTCCTTGTATTCACGCAACTTAGCATCTTTCGGATCTTCGTTCACGATAGGTTTGTTCTTGATATTTTTCGCACGATTCGCATAACGAAGTGTAGAAAGAGTTTCATCGTAATTATAATCTGCTGGACTAACAGCAGCAACCATAAGCGTCTTTGTATTTCCACCTAACGAATCTTGCAACAGTCGTGTGAGTTTCGAATCACGATATGGAATATGCTTTCCTTTGCCATCTACAAGTGCGGAGATGACATTGCCCAGTGCTGATAGACTTAAATTAATCTTACATCCTTCCTAAAAACGTAGCATACGTGAGAAGAAATACAAGAACCACTAGCTCATTAACTTGTTCAGACCTTTAGTCGATTGCCTGTAGCTCCAGTTTTGCTTTGACGCTCACTTCCAGCAAGATCTACCAAGTTTAGCTAAGCAAGAATATGATCAAACGAATAGCAAGATCTAAAAAGCATCAGGTCTCAGACTTACCTTTCCAGCTTTAAAATGATCTTGACCACCACTCGTTTCATTTGTTTCGACTACAATTGTAAAGATAGAGTGCGAGCGAGACGAACCTTCATTCTATAAAGCCACCAAATCAGTCACCATATCCTTTTATCATGTCTTTACATCTAGAAAATTACCATAAGAGTCGCTCCAATTGTTCGATTCTTAAGTCCACGGTTCATGACTTTGTTTAAAGACTGCACATCTCGAACTACCACTTCAGTAAGATCCTTGACGTAAATCGTACCATCCACTGCCTCCTTTAAATCAAGTCTTCTTTTCGTATCGTCACTAAGAAGATCACGAATATCTTCATTGTAAATTTCCAAATACGATGCTCGTACCATATACTCCCGCATTGTATCAGCATTAATCGTATCAAAAATGTGATCAAATGATAAAGGAATGACACCGCGTAGGTCCGAAGGTGATTCTTTTCCTTGCATTGTATGAGTTTTACCACATCCTGTTTGTCCATACGCAAAGATTGTGCCATTATAACCCTCAAAGATCGATTCTACCAACGGATAAGCCGACTCATCATAAAATTGTCGCTGCGAAGTGTTTTCATCATATACCGAGTCAAAAGTAAAAGACTTTTGTTGATCATTATCAGGACATTTCAAAGAAATCAATGCTGCTGCTTGATCAATTGTAACGATTGACTTTCGGCCTTCAACTAATTCCTTACCAAAAAGGGGTCGACAACGCACAACCACTTTGACGGTCTCTTTGTCCCTCCCACTACCATTAGATGTCTCGGATGCATTCATCTTTATTGTGGTTAAAAGCGGAGTTAGAGTATTATTAGAACCTAATGATAATCGGTGACCAAACGTCTACAATGTTTTTTCGTGCTTATGCTTTTAATTTCTGCGTGATGAGATCGATACCTTCACGTCTTGAGACCTTGAATTAGGATTGTAGCATCAACATAGCTGACACAAAACTTAATATATTGACAAACATGTGATAGAATGTTAATGATAAGCGCAGCTAATTGTTGGAGATGCATTAGCAAAATTTGCTTTGATTGCATACAATCGCTCGTATACTTGGCGACGAAGAACAGGTGAGAAAGTAGTCAGGGTACAATGTTACATGTAGTTAGGACAAACACCTCGAGAGAATACTTACTTGCAAGTACGTGACAAGAATTCTTACTGATTATAATCCAGTATGCTATATTGTATCGTATTGACGGGACGTAGTGAGTTTTGAATACTGTTGCTCAAAAGGTTGCACCAGGTCTCGATGAATAAGAGTGAGATAAAACGTGACTTGTACAGATTCAAGACTCTTACTGCTGTATGTCTTGACTCCAAAAATGGCGAATGATTTCTCGCTGCTGTCCTGCGTCGGATGTCAAGTATTCTCTTTGTATATCTTCGTCTTTCATCAAATATGTCAAAGCACTGCCAAATCTCACAAGATACGGTTGAATCTCAGTGTGCCACATTTTGTCATCCCTCATTACTTTTGTCACCTTTGTCTTTGCTATCTCAGCTTGCAAATGTTCAACCAATTCTCCTTCTTGTCCACCTAAGATAAACAGATATGTCTGCAATTGAGCAAGATCATATTTTGGCAATGGATCTATAAATTTCTTGACTCGATTCTTCACTTCAATGACTTTTCCATCGGCTCGACCATCAATTTTGCCTCCAACAAACAACTTATAATCCCCCACTGTATCAACTTTTTTCTTATAAAAGACTAAATTTCGATCTTGAATAACTTGTTTTTGCTGTTTTTGATAATGAAAGATTCCCGCAATCTCTTGTTTAGCTCCAAAGTCTTTGTTCATTGTAGAAGTAACAAACTGAACGACATCAGCTTTAATATCAATTGGAGTGGTGGATGGTAATGAATGCACCACTTTTGCTTGAGCTTTGGCCACTTGATGAATTGTTGTGGCTTTCGAAGCCTCTTGAATTAATTCATTAATAGCTGGAGCAGCTCCAAGATCCTGAACGATAGTTTGCATCTTTTCTTCTGGAGTTGGAAGCGCTAGGGAAAGTTGATGTTGGAGAGAAGACACTTGACGAGGATTTGTACGGCGCCATACATTTAAGAACACATCTTCAATCTTGCGATATGGATTTAATGCACTGACAACGGGCACTTCACTCGCGAAGATCATGATGTTACGTCCGAGTCCTCGCTTCATATTCGAAGGCATTATATTAGTTATAACCAATGACGTTGAGTGAATAAAATACGAAATAACTTTCTCGCCTGCAAGATTTACGGTTTCAAATGTGAGAAATTATTCTGGTCAAATTGACAGTACACTGCTGTTCAAGCCCCGCGGTATCAACGGGTCATGCTTCGCCGTAGGCATCCAAGAGAGTAAAAAGCATTTTTAACGAATTATTTCTTACATGAAGTGAACTGTTAGCATTTGTCCACACTCATGATTTCCTAAGTGCGGACAAATGCTAATAGTTCAGTCTCAAAGGATACATACTTGGAACTTGCTTCTTCTCCGCCATGTTGTCGTTTGGCTTGGATAATAATGAGTCCTACGGTGGAGCTATTACTACTCGAAATCAGCATTCTTGAAGGTGGGAGTGGCTTAATGGTAGCGACGTAGCTCGTTCTTCTTGCCGATACAAAGGTGTTATTATAAACATCAATTGGCTGCGAGAAATGTTGTAGTTTATCGTGAGATATCCCACTTTATTATATTGCATCATATGATCTGGGCCAAAATGATATCTTTATCTTATTCTGCAGCAAATTGAATGACTTGAGAGGTCCACCTTGTCTTAAAGCAAACCTGCTGCCTTTAGCGGAAGCATTGTAGATAGTCTTTGCATGCAACCAGAGATGTGCTGTGGGTTCTGCGATGCTCAAAGGCCCTCGGCCAAGAAAAAGAAATTAACCTATTCAAAAGACAATAAACGTGCAGTCGATCTTACAAGCAGTTCAGGTTATGATTGTACAGTCAAGCACGTCAACATTCGTGTGGTCCGGAGCATCGACGGGATCACTAAGGATCTGGGGACCGAACAACTTAGGTACCTGCTACAAGTAAGCGGTATCCGATTGAGCCCACACATAACTAGCGGAGAGTAAAGCATTGGGATTACATCACTTAAAGCGTCTTGTTTGGCGGATGACGTCACAAGATTACGGGTCAGTAATGAATGAATCAGCACGGAAACCGATTCCAGACACAGGAACAAGCTACTCATCTTGATACTAGACTCAATTTGTTCGATCCTGATATATCTATGCCTATCAGCGACTGCCATTGCGTTCGCAATCACTTGCCATAATATTTTCGTAATAACGAATGTTACACTAGGGCAACCACGATGGTTGGATAACATGCAACGAGCTATGGATCGACTGGAAGTCAAAGTCTCTGGGTGCCGCGCACAATTTTGATGAGTCATAAACTTGCCTCGACAAGAGATAAAAAGCAGTTTGAGGCGTGAGTGCGAGCTACGACAGCTCTGGTGCAAACCAATGGATTCAACAAATTCATCAGCAACGGATATTGATTCGTGTCTTGAGCAAAGGTTGAATGACAGAAGTGGCTGTGAGCAACGGTCTTCAGATGGGACGAAATTCTCGGCCAACCCAAAATATAATGCGGATATAGGAGTTGGTGAGTGTATGTTGCGTTTTTCAGGATAAATTTTTCTGCAGTGCGATAAAAGACGGCGGCGTGTTGCGGTTTCCAGTGTTTGGGTCTGTCTGAGCGAATGAGGCAGCTGAGTGCCGCGGCATCTAGTGCAAATCATTGTTGATGCAGGCGAATGTGAGCTGTGATCAGGAGGGCCAAACATTGATGCGACTAATGATGGTTTGTCCTTGCGACGATAAGACAATGAAACTAAGTTAGCCACACCATGTAATGTGCCCGCCATTTGAATCTGTAGAATTTCTGGAAAGCAAATTTAATCAAACTATATCGCGATCTCGCTCTGATGACCACACAAAAAAGCGTTGTATTTTGAGTATTCTCTGAGAAGTAGTCCACAATCGAATATATTCATTTGAGGGGCTAACATCGATAGTTGTTGGTAATTTGATTAAAGCTTTGCTAGAGATGTTCGTTGAGACGTACATTCACCCGCAATAGTGCGCCACGCGCAGCATCAGCATGCGCGAAAAGTTCCGGATTGTCAAAATGCTTTACCTAACCCAAAATTTCTGTGCCGCCAATCGCACAAAGGTCATCACCCTGCGGTACTGCTTGATAGGCAAGGCGAAGCTTTTATAAAAATGATGGTAATTTCTAGTGCCTATTACCGTGTCAAGCTCGTGACGTGGCTGTAGATATGTTAGCAGGCCCATGGGTACGAGCAATGTCGATTTTGAGCCCGATATTAAAGCCAAGGGTGAAAACTCGTCTCTCTATATTGACGTCGCGCTTGGATTGTTACGAACTCAAGCATTACTCGACGTTTCCGACGATTATCTATGTTTTAGTACTTGATCTTAAATTGGCAAAATTGGTAAGATGACAATCAAGCCATATAGTAGGTAACACTTTCAAAAGGCCTCAGTACCAGAGATATAGTGTTTGAAAGCTCCGAAAGACGTATCAATACTGATACAGACTGAGGCGGTGCTCCAGGAAGACTCATCATGCTGGCAAAAATAATGCTTAAGGAGGAACTTTTTTACTTGAGGTGCAGCCCACACACATAAGTCCCCAGAAGCTATACTACAGCGCGCCAATTATATGGGGTTGATCAAAGCAGTAATCACAACATGATACTGTGGTTTTTATTTGTCGCTCTGATGACGCGTATATAAATGCACATCGTATGTCTCGCCATATGAGGCCTTCATCAGAAGTGTCGTGTATCGGCATTTCCAAGCCATATGATTATTTGAACAATCAGGCAAAAAGCTGCCTACGTGGTTTTAATCTTGAAGCTTACAATAAAGTCTCTTTTCAGTAAACTTGGGGCAAGACTTACAACGAAAATCCCAAAGGAAGAAATTAGTCTGACGGGTACAAATCTTCGTATAGAGTTTGAACATATAGATCTGTTATTCTTCGTACTTAGAGTGAAACTCAAATGTATACCAGTAGCGAAAAATTGCGGTAGTAGTATAAACAATTTTGGTACTAAATACGATATTTAGTTGCCACAAAGAATACAGCAGAATACAACAGGCTATTAATTTCAAATATCTCTCTTCAAGGTGAAAAATGTGAAGTTTATGTTTACTTGAGAGGATATTGGTCCGCGTCTTAAGGATAGAAAACAGCAAGCGCGCAGTATTTAAAATCAATCATTCGTGCGATTCTTGATCCGGGCTACACGAGCCGAAGAATTTATTTCCGCGAAGTACAGCAGTAGTTATATTGTTGGACACTCGGACAATCCTGATGCAAAGTCGCTCTGACGGCAATATATCTGTATAAACATCATCAATCAACACCTCTATTCATTGTTTAGTGAGACCACACATCTTGTGATTTCAAGAGGGGTCAGACAATCCTTTGCACTAATGCCAATGGTTACACCACTGTTACAATTGCCGATTGACCAAATTGCTTGCTGGTGGAATGAGCTTTTTAGATAAAAATGCACAAATACGTCCTGCAAATGCATCATGCTTCTTGATTTTTTCCTAAGATATTTTTTAATCCAAAGTTAAGTCGCATTATCAGCTTCATGTAAACGTCACCCTGATAATGCAGATGTGTGTTTGCAGCGCTTGCGACACCTCGCTTGATTTTATGCGACATATCGAGTCTGTGGAGATGTCGTACACACCATCACAGTCGACAAAAACACTCTCTTTTCTAGTCATCATGGTTTGCTTTTAGTCTCATTGCTCCCCAGCAAAATTTCACATTGCTCGTACGAGCTACAACATACCAAATTTGGCAACAAGTTATCCCTCCATGCCCCTGCTACTTCAAGTGGTTGATGTTTGGGGGGGAAAGTGGACGCGTAGATTTGTCGGATAATAAAGGCTTTGAACATTATTCAGCTTTATAAACTACATAAAAGGTGAATACTACTAAACTGACAGCACCTGATTGCTGGCGCGCAGATTGTCATCTAAGTCGGTCTCTGTCAAGTTCATGTTCCATGATTATGCAGTTGCAGGTGTGATTGCTCAATGTAAGCGTCACATACGAGAAAACTTTTATAGAGGACCAGAGCTGTTCCCTTATCACGAAACTCGAATTTTTAGGCTAGTTGCATTCTTCGATTTTACATTTTTGCAGTAAAGTAGCTTCCTCGATTGAGAAGTGTATATGAATTCTAAGACAAATTAAGTGCCGTTTTCTTCAGCGTACTGAATGCTTTACATTAGAATTTCTGATGACCAGCTCGGGACTGATATACATCCACGAATAAGTTGCAGGCGTAGGAACTTTCCAGCCATTAACAGTATTGGTTTATCGATGTATGAAACGGCATAAATTATGCTCGAAATTTCCCAGCCACTGCCTCACGCTGCCGAAGCACGCTCTGTCTTAATTCAAGTCGCGAAGTCAGAGACCGAGATAACGAAACCGTGGTTTTCCTATGGCATAAAGGCGCTCGGGATAACCGCCCTCATGGTGTCGATGGAGCATCAGACAAAGATTCGGTCGGTTCACACTGCTATCCAGACAACGACCCCGCTGCTTGAATTCTACAATTGGACGACGCCTTACAACCATGTGAAGCTTGCGAGTTGGCTATACGACTTCAAGATGGATACCGATACTTTGATGACCAAGCTCTTGAACAGTATGCTGAGCTCGTGGCTGGGTAGCAGAAGCTGCAAGAATAAATTGATGAATCGTGACAGCGTTGATTCTTCTGAGCAGTCTCTCAATGGAAAATGAGATGATCTTGTCAATCGTGGAGTGTTCAAAGGACGCCGCACGTACTAAAGAGAAGGTAAAAGAAATTATACAAGCAACTTGAGAAGAAGAAACCAAGAAGAGCACATTTTTGATAAATGCTGATCGGTTCAATGGCCAACAAAACTTTAGTCGAAACGAGCCAGCAAAGGAAAGGCGGTGAATCGAGGAGCAAGTGTCTCAAGTGCAGTCAAGTTGGACCTTCAAGCGGGGTCGCCCAAATCGGATGGCGCCAAGGAAGATAGTGCTGTGTTTGCAGTGGGGGAAGATAGGCGTGCTGGGTGGATTATTGATAGCAAGGCCACCGTACATGACACCTTATTGGATGTTAAATTCTTTGTTCAGAGGTTTCGGATGCCCGTCTGGGTCATAATTGCACAAGATAAGAAGCTTTCAGTCTCAGGAATGGGGATAGATAAGCTAACTGAGCTGGATATTTTGCAAATCGTGATGGTTGAGGTCCTACGCATTCGATGACTCGGCAATCGTTTGTTATCGGTTAGATAGCTGGTTGGAGTTGAGATGAAGGTGGTTCGACAAATTTATCATGTGTAATCTGAAGTGCGAAAGTGCAGTTGATGAAGGCAAGAAGGCTGGTAAAGCATACTTTTTGGATTACTAACAGGAGATGCTCGTCATGTGAGATATGCCGAAGATGATAGTGAGTAGACGCCTTGGCACGATCGCTTGCGACACTTCAAGACGAACGATCTGGTGACTTCACAGCGCGCTACGAGCGAAACTTTATCGGTGTCGCAATTCATCGAGAAGCTTTATGGTGAGGGCATCGAGAGCAGGCACACTTTAATATTCGTTCGTCTCGATCGCTAACAAAGGTATTGTGTGTGTTGGAGATCATTCGAACGGACATGACGGGGTCGGTGGAAACGGACTGAAAGTGTATTGCACTGTATGTGCTGTCTTTGTGGATGATCTCTCACAGTTCATGGCTGGGTACTTCATCGAGCACCAGAATGATGTGGCCACCAGCTAGGCAGTTTGGGCATTGCACGGATATCAGGGAACGGCAATTAAAAATGCTTATGATTGAATAGCAGGATGGAGTTCGTGAACAAGATGATTGTGGAAATCTATGTAAGGAATAGCATCATGAGTCAGTGCTCCGTGTCGTACAGCCCTGAACGCAACGGATTGGAGGAACGGATAAACCGTACAATCATGGCAAAAGCGCCGAGTACAACGGATTCTCTCTGGCTAGTAGTTAGCCCATCGGTTTAATTTATCAACCGCTTGGCGAACTCTGATATCGAACCATATAAGCTGGGATCAATGCATAGTCGAAGACGTGATAACTACGTGTGTTTCTATCACAGAGATACGCGGATGTCGATGATGCCTTTGGGTTTCGGTCCATATTTTAAGTGCAGAAAATACTTGAGGCTGTTGCGTTTTTGGAACACTGCAAGCTCAAGATGACACGGTCAAAAGAGCTCGATGAGTTTGAAGTAGGCGGCATATACACCGTAGCTTAATCACAGGACGCGGTGATAATTTACAAGACCAAAGATGATGCTGACACGGAGATCACCGGCCGAAAGCAACCTGCTACATTCGAACTCATTAAAGGAGTTGGAAAACTTGCTTGCAATATTGAAATGACTGACCCAAAGCACGAGCAAGAATTCAAACTCTATTGCCTCGTTATCCGACACCAGCAGACATGGAGCTGGTACCTTACCACGACACCAGTTCGAGCAAGGCTATCAAACGAGGTTATCTTTCTTTTAGAGGATAGTTTAAGCAATGACGAAGAGCAGATGGTAGAAGAGAGCGACAGGCGATCATGTGCGAAGCGAGCCAGAATTGACGAGGGAGGACATATTGCTGAGGCTGTGTCAGCTTATATTTCAGTGTTGGTCAGATGGACGAGGCGCCATCAACATACCAGCGGAAGATGAACAGCGACGATGCTCCCACGTGGGTGACAGTGAAGAAGGCGGAGCTCAAAACTTATCTCGTGGACGCTAGAACCAAGGTGTAACGGGGTTACACGTACCCTAATGTGAAAGGGCGGGTCACACAAGATGGTGTGACTGTGCATACAATGGTGTGGCCACACCGTAACAAGAAGCCACTCTGCCAGTAGTAATGCATGTTAACTAGGGTTTACTATAGGAATTAGATTTTACTAAATCAATTAGGAAAACCTTAGATTTTAGATATTAGTGAGCCTGTTAGAACGCAATACGATTTCGAGAAGGTATTCTTATAGACCATCACATCACCAAATGGTCATGATGCTCGCGTTGGGTGAAAATGCAATCGAAGAGGGAACGTAAGATCTTCATTATCTTCTCATCCTGATTTTTCAACGGGAATGCCATGACACCTTTTACAGGTAGAGATTAAAGTCTGCATTAGCAACAGAGGATTGGGTTAAATGGCTAACCCAGGAGAGCAGAAACAAACTCTTAAATATTTAACGACCTCTATTGCCTCCCGATACAAAATTCTGACGCCGACAACAAATAGAGTTGCTTGTGACGCAATATTCATGTAACCACCAAAAAAAATCTCGATTGATTTCACCAAACCATTTACGATCTTTGTATTGCTCAATGGCCCACTTCACGAACAAATTTTTGTAATCAAGATAAAGGTGTAACTCGTTTGTTTGAGAGGCTAAGCAGTATATATTTTACGTGACGTTGGGAGCTTATGATGATATTCAGTGAGACGCTTTGGTTACTAAGAAAACTTATATTACCAAAGCCACCGTGATAAATCGTACCGGTCTCTTCGACTGTCGACTTCATTTGATGCTATTTCACTACATTGTCGAAGCTCGCCAACTTGGTCCGAAGTCGAACCACTTTTGTCGAGTGAGCTTTTACTTGACCAGATGGTGAGCACTTCAGGTCTCTCAACCCGTGACTTGCGTGAGATTACACTTTCCTTGATCAGGAAATCTTGATGCCACTCGTAGATCTCGTACAGCGCTTCCCACATCTCTGAGCCATGCTCACTGTGATCAAGGTGTGCCAGACGATGCGAAGAGACGGCAGTACCGATCATGCGCGAACTAGATTCTTCTCAGAATTAGTCGGGGCTTCCTGGCTCACGAGTTCTGTTAGGTCGATCTTGTCTTCGGGCGAGTAAATCAGCTCCTGTTTATGAAGGATGGCCATTTGGATGTGCGCTATTCTCTCATGTCAAAAAGCACTTGTACACTCGATTATCTCAAACCTTCGTCATTCATGATATTTGACCTCTCCTCCATCTTTAGGCGTTATTGACAGGGGAGCAACGAGACTTAAACTGATTTTGTAAGAACTTATCAAATGTACATCTGTGGATTGCCATATCCTGCCTACATCCTCATATGTTTACTCTGATTCGAAAGCTTCAAATGTCATACTAGCCTGCGGGATTGTTGAGAGGGTTCTGAGCGATAATCCGACACTGACTACCAAGTGACACCAAGACTACTATCCGCGGAATTCCTGAAACGATGTGCTTTCAAATTGGTATATTTTCTATGCAAACCTTTACCAAGCGACTACATTCCATTGTTTGCGACATAAAAGAATAGTATTGGGAAGTTTGAGTGCCCGCGTAGAATAAGAGAGCTGGTTTGTTATGAAACAGGTGAAGAGTTAGACTCGCCAATGCCAAGAGAAAATCTTGCGAAATCACTGAGCGCTGACATCTATATCGGTGCTGAAGATTACAGCGAGAATATCACGGAGATTATGGAAGATATCTCTATTTTTTCGGCGACAGTACAAGAAATTCGCCTCTTTTCCTATCTTGACTGCTGTTCCAAAGTACAGACCTACTTGTTTGCCAATAGACTGCAGACACCAACATGCTATCACATTATGATTTTGCTTTGTTATATACACTACTTTTAGAGTTAGAATAGGCCTGTCCTTGGTGTCCGGAACAATATGTCTCGCTTTTAGAAGCAATACGGTATATGTGCGACTTAAGCAAACGAATAGCCACGTTGTGAATTAAATATGGAACTGCCGGAATGTGAGGACGCGGTGCTGACGGCGCTACAACAAAGGCGACCAAGACACATTGTGGACTTAATTAACAAGGCAAGCAAACAACGCGTCTTTCATTTGCTAATTTCCCTTACATTCTTTTACTGACTTTTTCTGCAGTTCCTCGTGGAGCAGTATAATGATGACAAAAGTAGTGTGCGAGCCATTGACTTTGTGTGTCTCGACTGTCGGGACAACGGTATGTGTCATTCGAAAACGATGACTCCATGCTACTTGATTTAAGAGTTCAGTGTAGGTCCTGAAGGTAACGCACGGGCTTTCTTCTCGGCACCACCGCCCACTATCGTCTTTTGTGCCAATCGTCTTCACTCGACACAAGAGGTAGAAGAGACTATGGTGCACGAGCTTATCCATGCGTACGATGTACGTATTTATTGGACTAGTCACAGTAGTGGAGTCATATGATTCTCTTTGTAGTTTACGGTGCGCAAGAT